TTTTTTTTTTTTTTTTTTTTTTTTTTTTTTTTTTTTTTTTTTTTTTTTTTTTTTTCTCTTCATTTTAATACTTTGAGGAGTATATCATTGACGAGTTAAGTGGTGCACACGTTTGTGTTATTGGTGCACCATAACGTTGCTATGAAACATGTATTCTACTCTTTTTTTTAGTTTTTAATAAATATTTTACCGAATTTTGATACCTTCCTCAAAATTTCTTCAATAATCCTTTTAATAATCTTTTAGGTAAGAACGTTAAAATATATAGAATTTAAGAGGAAATACTTAAAAATATAGAGTACATTGAACCTAATATTAGAATACATAATTACTTAAACTTTATAGAGGTGTTTAAAAAAAATTATGAAATAAAAAAAGAAAGATAACATACCATTTCAATATTATATAACAGATATTGAGACCATTTTTATATTACCAAAGTTGATCATGTAATGTGTAATTTTTTTTTTCTTTTAGCCAAAGTGTATTATAAAGTTCTTTGAAAAGTTGCCTAAATTCAAGTTGTCCAACACAAACGATTATCTCATTTTATTATATTGTAGCGATAAAATATATATATATATATATGTCCAACATAAACGATTATCTCATTTTATTATATTGTAGCGATAAAATATATATATGTGTGTGTGGTGTAATGACAAAATATTTATACTATCAATTTTTTTTTTTATCGATATAAATAATAAATCTTCTTATAATTCTTTTTTATTTATTTATTTCTTTTTGTTCAAAAACGTTTTGTGTTTTCAAATAAAATCAATAATTTTATTCATTCAAACAAAAAAAGATAGGGTATCAGGAAATAAAATAACTGATTGAAATAAAGTAAAAGAGGTATAGGATGAAATAAAATAAAAGAGGTTTTGAAGTTATTAATATCTCATTAATATATTTATTTTACTCACTAAATAAATATATTAATTAACCTTGAAAGGCGGATGATTTGATATACTAAACTTAAAAAATCAAAATCAATAGTCCTAATTAAATGTAATTAATAAATTATTATATTATTTTCCAAAAACAGGCATTAAAGATATTTTTGTTATTTATTTGAAACAAGTCTTAAAAGAAACTAAATTGTTAACACAATAAATAATAAAAAGAAAAAGAAAAAATAGACAGGTAAATACAAAATATGGTAGTGGGTGTGGGGCCATGAGTATTGCAAAGAGGGACACGCATCACAACCAAAACCCTAGATCGTCATTGGAAATGAAATCTTATATAAGAAATGAAAGTGCGGCCTCACCTCACCGATTGTAACCCTAAATCCTTCTCCACTTTCCTTGCTTACTCCCTTGTGTCCTCTATCAACCTTCGCACTTTTATCTTAATTTCTCATTCTTTCCTCAGCCGTTTTCAATCCGTCGGACTGTTTTTTTCTTCGCCGGCGTAGATGATGTCCGACGAGGAAAGGGAGGAGAAGGAGCTCGATCTTACTTCTCCTGAAGTAGTCACCAAATACAAAAGCGCCGCTGAGATTGCCAACAGTAACACTCCATCCCCTCTCTCTCTATCTCACATTTTAGTTTAAATTTGGTTAATCGAGCCCTGTTTTTGCTGATGTTTATACTGAAAATTGGTGTATTCTATGTGGAAACGTGTGTTTTAAGTTATCAAATGGATGTTTATGCAGAGGCATTGCAGTTGGTGATATCCGAATGCAAACCAAAAGCAAAGATTGTTGACGTTTGCGAGAAAGGGGATTCATTCATTAGAGAGTAAGAGTTTAGTTTTATTAAAGTTGGAAGGATCTGTTTACTTTTTGATCGCGCTTGTTCAAGTCAATTCAATGCTTTTGATTGTTCTTCAATGTCATCCGGCTGAGCGTTTTATCAACTGCCTAATTTAATGGGGTCTTCTCTCTGTGTTTTTTGTTTCTCTCTTGTTGGGCATAGGCAAACTGGCAATGTGTACAAAAATGCCAAGAAGAAGATTGAAAGAGGTGTTGCCTTTCCAACTTGCATTTCTGTTAACAACACTGTATGTCACTTCTCACCCCTTTCATCCGACGCGACAGTGTTGGAAGAGGGCGATATAGTTAAGATGTAAGCTGTACTAATGTATTTGGGTAACTCAGTTACACTAATGATGGAATTATAAAACCATGGTGGAATTTTGTCTTAATGCAGTGACTTAGGTTGTCATATTGACGGGTTTATTGCTGTGGTCGCTCATACTCATGTGCTCCAAGAAGGTCCCGTTACAGGAAGAGCTGCTGATGTTATTGCAGCTGCTAACACTGCAGCCGAAGTTGCGTTGAGGCTCGTGAGGCCTGGAAAAAAGGTAACCTGTTATGCTGTTGAGCTATAAATTTTAATTCGTTTGGACTCAATGTAAAATTTTTGAGTCTATCGGTCAATCTAAATCATGATATTTTTTAAAAGTATGTTGTGAATATCTGGATATTTAAATTCTACTAAATGAATGTTGATTTTTCTGTTTATTTGAAAGGCAACTTTGCCGAGGTAATCAGTTGTTTCTTTTGATTTCCTCTTTTCCCTGTTGCCTACATGAACTATGGCCATATTTGGAGTAACACTAGGTAGGCATGTTATCCATAGTCAAACCTATTATGTCCAATATTGGCCCAAATCATTTTACCTGTGGTTTTATCATAGTTTTTCTATGCCAAATTCCTTTTTACAACCATTTTAGTGTATATATACGGAATATGGAGGTGCCTAAAACAAATTAATTTTTAGTAAATAAATGTACACCTCAGTGAGCTTAGAACACTTTTTCCTACATTGCCTTTGTGCGGCAACATGGTCTCTACTTGATGATAACTACCGTGGCTATGGATTGCATCCAGTGAAGCCTTTTCATGTCATAGTTACACTGATAGAGAATCATGGTCTTGACGTGGTTTTTTACAAGGTTTAGGAACCTAGGAAATTTTTTCCCCATGTTTTCTTGATAAAAACAATTCCATTTGTTACTAGAACATTTTTTTCCTACATTGTCTTTGTATAACACATGGTCTCTACTTGATGATAACTACAATGGCTATGGATTGTATCCAATGAAGCCTTTTCATGTCATAGTTACACTGATAGAGTATCATGGACTTGAGGTGACTGTGTTTCAAGGCTTAG